AATCGGAATTCCCCATGTATGGTATTTAGGATGTTTCAAGTTAATTTAGATTCGTTCACGGTGTTATTCACAGTTGCGCGAAATATTTTTGGATTTATCCCTCGACCGAAACGAGTCCTGCAACTTCTCCGTTTCATAACTTTTATATCTACCTTTCCACATTTGCAATATAGAGAATTCAGTAATCCAGTGGAAATTGTAATATTCTACTTGCAAATACTATTACTAGCACACTACTTGTAAATACTATTAAAATTATACTTGTAAATATTCTACTTTTCACTGATGATGATGTGAATTTACGATACCGGGTTTTCGACTATATTTCTACATAGTCGCATATCTGCTACATCGCAGTTGAATTTTCAACGAATATTCAGTATGGATTGAAAATATTCGTTGCACCAAAAAGAGGCGCCACGCGTATTTTGCATCGCATTTGATCCTACAATCCCGTTTTCTCGCATGACATACTGCGTTGCCATATGTCACATTAGCTTCGCCAAAGTTCAGAATATCTTTGTCAACCAAACCAACCTGTTTTTTTTCTTTTTCAAAATTTATTTACCAAGATAACAGGGAACTGTTTTTTAACTTTAAAACATTTTTTTTACTTCTAAATGTAATGCAACACGGCATGAAACACGTGTAAAGCAAAGTTTAACTTTAAAAGAAAAATAAACATTTCAAGTTTTTATTTCGCCCGTTGTGAAAAGATATTATAATTTCTTTATGAGAAACGACTGTAATTTTTAACCGTAATATTTTCACTAAAATAATATTATTAATTTTCCACAATGTTGTTTTTAATTATAATGTCTTTCCGTAATAATTGCTTCAATAATAAAATGAATAATAAACTCGTTGCATGCTTCGTGACAATTTATTTCTATAATTTATATATATCAAGAAAGATATTCCAAGTGCACTTATTACAATCAAAAAAATACGTAATTTTGGAATGACTCATTGCGCTTCTCCGAAAAAAAGCAATAAAGAGGCGAACGCACGATCAAAAAACCGGCTCAGTTGCATTCGTTAGGTAACGTTTGCCTTTCGAACTTCTTACTTTTGAGCACGCGCGAACGAAATAGAACGCAAAAGGTCGGGGCTGTATGAATTACAATAACAATCGGTAGAATTGATCTTTTCTGTAAAAAATGACACTTTTCTGCTTCAAATTTTCCCCAAGGATACATTCGCCGATTCCCCCTTTTTTTTGGTAGCATTTTTTTTCAGCAGCAGCAGATTTTATGAGAGCTATACACAATAAACATATTATTTGGCATGATCGTAGTATGAAAAATAGCCATTTAAAGCAGAGATTCCTATTATTGAATAAATAAAGAATAAAATTTATATGTGCATAATCATCAATAATATTACAATAAAATGCAAATAATAATATCTTTTTCAGTGATAATTGGATTTTTAAGTCGTCTTTCAAAATAGATTTTTAAAAAAATTAAAAAAATTATTATATATATTAGAAAATATAAAAAAGCAAACAATTTCGATCACTATATATTCCGTTCACGTATGTACGTTCACCTAATATGTGTCGAGAATTTACGTTCCTTTGAGAGCGATCTATGCCACTCGATTCCGTATATATGTGCGATCGAGAGTAGGATAGAAAATTACGATTATAGCTCTTCCCAGTGCGATATTTAGGGACCACCATTTCCCGCGATCAATCGATTGCAGACGGATTATCTGTCGAGTGCTCCGAATTCGACGATGCTATGTGAAGCAAATGCTACCGCTCTTCCCAGTGAATTTCGTTGCATTACATCGCGCAGTCATAATGCTCGCAGCCGAAACTTGTCCTATCGTGATTGTTAATCAAAATGGCCAGCGGCGAGAAATTTTCATATTCATGAGCTACGATTATTACGCTGTACGTCTATTGTTGCTGCATTCACGATTTTGCTCGACAGTTAGGTGCAAGTTAACAAGATGATTCAAGCCTTTCCAAGCTCACAATGTTAATAAACATTACATTAAATTAATTTCAAAAAATGAGGAAAAACTATAAATATTTTCAATATTTATTTAAATGTTATTCAATTAAAAACAAAAACAATGCTTAAATAATATAAATAAAAAGTAAAATATTATTCGATGTTTTTAAAAATAATTTAAATACATGAATGCAACGACTGTAACGTAACACAAATAAAAATTTACATTCCAAGTATTTATTTAAAATTAAAAATAATACTAAAAATTTTAAACAAATAATAATTTGGCTCATCTACGCTCATACGAGCGTATGTTATTCTAATTTTGTATTTTAATTGTGTGTTTTAATTGTGTTTTCAAATATGATAAAAACGCGAATAGAGGAGACTAGCTTGGCTAAAACGACATATGAGTTGAGCTAATAATTTTTCCTTGACATTTTAATTCATGAAAACAAGTTTCTGATCAATAATTTACTTTTTCGACTTGCAATATATTACGTACCTCATTATCAATACAATATAAAGCCACAGTATAATTCATACTTAATAAAAAAATATATTAATTTTTTCCAAAATAAATTATTGAAAACATTTTGATTAAAAACAGCTAGAATATTTTCGTATTTTTGAACAAGGAACTTAGGAAAAAAACTGGCATGAGTGGTAAGATAAGATAAAGGCAATGATTCCCGTTAAAGGGCAAAATCGATCGAGCCATCGGTCGACGATCGGTCGATGTCATAAACTTCGCCGGGGTTCTCGTAGGAAATCAAAAGGTGGGTTAAGAATATAGACAGCGTGAACTTCGGGCGTCTCTTTTATCGTATTCTCGTATTTTTCCGTACTAACATATTTCTTCGCCCTGCGTTTCATATCTTATGGTTTGCAGCATCGAAAGTAAGCTAACACGGAATCTTTATCGTGCGGAGAAAAAAGAATATATATAGATATAGAGGTAATAAAATAGAGGTAATAAAATTGAGATAACATTTCATGGCTGAATATCACAATTTCTCTCAATATACAAATTAAAAACTAATCATGATAAACAGCGAGGTAAATAGCGACATCGTTTGATAAATAATTAATGAATATACTGGCCATTATAGACAATTAATGAGTATGCCGTTATACAAAATAAGACTGAAAAACAGGAATTGAATTGTAAATATTCTAAGCATTTGTATTTTAATTTATTTGTAATCGTTAGTTGTGTATCGCTTTCGACGAACTGAAATAAATCTACGCCCATCGTAAACTAGTGTTTTATTTTGTCGGGCGACCGATCTTCGAAACTGGCATTTTAGTTCCATCGTCTGCATCCGGCGCGCAATCTCACAAAAAATAGCATAATTTTGTTGGGCGGTTCTCGAATATTTTAACTGTTTCCTTTTAAGAAATTCCACGAATGAATAAAAAGTATATTAGCCAATACCGACTATTCTTGTTGTTTCATATAATATGGCGAGACGAATGATCACATTACGATATAACTTGTATTTCTCTGCGGCGTATCCGTCGTTTAATTTAAATAAAGCGCATTTTCACGGAAATTTGCGTCATGAATATAAAGCATTTTGTGAAAATCGGCACAATGCATTCGGTGGAACATACATCTTCGTCGGGACAATCCTGAAGATGAAAATCCACACAATTACGAAACTCAGTTGCGAATTATTCCGCACCATGGAGATTTATGTCGCGTTATAGAACGAAATGGTTTATACCGAATTGTGCAATATGAGAAAATGTCGCGGCTGACTTTTAAAAACACGAAGTGTTTTGCAAATAAATTTATAAAATAGGAACTCTGTCGCGTCGATCTCTGTCAGCCAAATATTAGACACCGCAAATTTCCACTCGCCAATTCGCTCTGTAAACCATAAAAAATGCGAAAAATAACAACAAAGTTAGTTTTTCCTGACTGTACAGAGTGATTCGAGTAATATTTTTCACTATTGCATATCGATATAGTCACATCAAAACGAGATAATAAATATTCGCATATATACATATAGTATCAATAAATTTCAGAAACGACACCGACGACAACGTCTCTGAATTCTGGTTTTCTGCAAAAATTAAGAAATTTATTTAAAATAAACAACATCCTGATTTAATGAGATGGGTCGCGCATAATACATAAACCGCTTTTTTAAGATTCAAACGATCTTAAAAAGAGCGATTAGGACCTTGAAAATATGAAAATAAAATGTCGTTAAATTAATAAAGTATCAAAAATATATATAAATGGTTAATTTTTAAAAAAATATTTTGTCAAAAATTTTAGTAGTAAAATTTTAATACGTTAGTAAATTGCAATTTAAGTAGTCATCACTTAATTATATAAAAAAATTCTATAAACGCAAAATAAAATAAAAAATAATAAACAATGAAAACTATTAATAAAAAAACTTCTTCTATGTGCGAGCATTTTTAAAATACAAAATAATAAATAATATATTTCACATATGTTCAATATTTTGCGTTTAGGGCAACTAATGCATAAAAAACCTCTCTGATACCAAAATCTAAAGGGATAAAAGAAGAACAAGATCTTCGATATTAAGTGCTGTTTCATAATATTTGTTGGTAAAAAATTTCTTTAAATTTTTTTCTTTTTGGATTCGTTACATCTCGTTACCGCATCGATCGATCTTGTTCGCTTGCCGACCGCGATAGTTTACACTGGCCGGTAAAAGTTGGCCCTTTGCAAAAAGAACGGCAAGGAAACGAGTGGCGTTACATGCCGGTGTACACAATTACGCACGTAACAGCTGTAATAATGCGGAATTGGATCCGTTTCAGAAGCAAGTTTGCGATGGCTTTTGCTGTTACGTCAGATCGGGATATCAGATGGACCAACCGCCGATCCGACCGACTGGCTGCAGAAAAATAATCGGGAGGTGCGTGCGGATCGCGGAGCAGGGCGTGTTCGTCGCCGTCTCAGTGAAAGTAAATCGCATACGTCGCGAACTGGGCATTTTGTATAAAAACGCCAACCGACCGGACTGATGGCACACTTGATCCGGAACTACCACGAGATACAATGAGGAGCTTCGCGGTAAGTCAACAGGGATTCTCGTATATATACGCCAGTACATAAAGACGATCATTAACCATGTCGCGCTTCCTCGTTAATAATATCTTCATTACCGTTCAATCGCGTTATTGCTTTAAGATTGTTTACGGCTAAAACTCGCTTTATCATTGTAAATGAAATTGTAACCATTGTAGCCATGGCGTTATAATTATGACGCTCTCCATATTCGTACGAGCTAAAAGAACTATAATAGAGAATTAATAGAGATATCAGATAAACAGCAATTTATTCGTGATTGTTCAATTAATTAATAATTTAAAATTTAATTATCCAACATTAATTGGGTAATTAACAAAATGTAATATGTATCGGCAAAATGTAATATCGACAAAGTTTGATAACAGCATAAAACTTAATCGAGTTTTCAATCAATTTAACGCTATTCTCGGTAATCTATCAACGCAACTATCTTTATAAGCAATATTTTCAAACGTATAGCAATCATCACTCATTTTCAAAATTATTCAGATATTGCTGTTGGCAACCGCCGTATTGGCGGGCCCGGTCGAGGACCCGAAGAAGTTGGACAAGAGTAGAAAAAACCCCAAACGAAGTTTGGGAGCGTTGGGAGATGCTGATCTCGCAAGTTATGGCTTAGAAGATTCTGGACTCGGACTCTCAGGCCTGACCGAGGACCCGAAGAAGCAGGATAAGATTGGAAAACACCCCAAACGAAGTTTGGGAGCGTTGGGAGATGCTGATCTCGCAAGTTATGGCTTAGGAGATTCTAAACTCGGACTCTCAGGCCTGACCGAGGACCCGAAGAAGCAGGATAAGATTGGAAAACACCCCAAACGAAGTTTGGGAGCATTGGGAGATGCTGGTCTCGCAAGTTATGGCTTAGGATATTCTGGACTCGGACTCTCAGGCCTGACAGGATACTCTGGACTCGGACTCGGCTCGAAATTAATCGGGTCGGGAGTCACCCTGGGTAACAGTTTAACTTCCGCGTACGCGTCTGGACTGGAATACGGAAGTCCCTACGGAGCTACCTACGGAGCTGCCTACGGAGGTCCCTATAGAGCTTCCTACGGAGCTGCCTACGGAAGTCCCTATGGAGCTGCCTACGGAACTTTCGGCAGCAGCGGCGCCCTTCTCAATTCCGCCGCTCCGATCCTAAGCTCGGGCGCTCCGATCCTCGCTCACGGATCTCTCGCGTCCGGATACGGATACGGATACGGCAGCGTGCTGCCGAGCGTGGCGCACGCCAAGACCGAGCGCATCACCGGTCTCACCGTTCACCGTGAAGTTCAAGTACCGGTCCCGGTGCCGCATCCCGTGCCCGTCGAAGTCACCAAACACGTGCCGGTCCCGCAACCCGTGCCCGTCAAGGTGGATCGTCCCTATCCGGTCCCGGTGCCGCAACCGGTACCCGTACCAGTCACCCGCCATGTGCCCGTAAAGGTCGATCGCCCATACCCAGTCGCAGTTCCGCATCCCGTTGAAGTTCGCGTGCCACAACCTGTAGCGGTGCCCGTACCTCAGCCGGTGCCGGTTCCGGTGTCCGTCACGAAACACGTGCCCGTCACCGTGCCGTCGTCCGTCGGCGTCGTACCTTCGACCTTCGGTACCGTACCTTCGACCTTCGGCGTCGTACATTCGTCCGTCGTACCGTCTACCTTCGGCGTCGCGACGAGCGGCCTCTCGCACGGCCTCTCGCACGGCCTCTCGCACGGCCTCTCGCACGGCTTCTCGCACGGCCTCTCGCACGGCCTTACACACGCTTACTCATCCGGACCCGAATACGTTGATTTGGGAGCCAGCCATCTCGGATCTACCTTGTCGGGAGCGACTCTGAGCAGCGGACTTGGACACCAGGTTCTGGACAGCGGTGTCTCATATCAGAGCGGCCCCATCGTCAGCGGCGGCAGCATATCCGGCATCAGCAGCGGTTTGGCATCCAGCGGCGCGCTACTGGGCGCCCACGACGTTCTTGATGGCGGATACGCGTACTCGGCACCGTTGAAGAAGTGGTAAACCCGATAACTCGGCGGATTGAACATGTACTTTTTAAAGCGCTTCTCAAGAATAGTTTACGGATTGAACGTGCAGAATATTAATTGTGTTATGTACGTTGTCGAATAAAACTATTTTTTTACCGTCACAGAATCGTTATTTAGTTGCGTACTTGCAGTTATACGATTGTGTCACAGCTCAATTTAGGATAGTTTTATAGATCTTTAGTATTTTACAATATTTCAGATCTAGTTAAAAAATTGTTATCGCCGGACTCGTAAAGTTGTCATTTTTGCATGATATAAGAGTTTGCATTTTGAGATGTCTTTCCAATAATAATGTCTTATTATATTTCTGAAAAAGAATTTGTACCGATATTTTTCTAGTCTCATAATAAATGCGCTCTTTGTAAATTTGATTCAAAAGAATAAAAAAAATTTTAAAAAGAAACACCCAGAAATGTTTTAATATAATATAAGAAAAGAAGATACCGAATAATCTCGGAACAAAAATCGTGTAACAATATAAAATGCACAATCAAAATCAAAATCGATGCATCGATTAACATTTGAGCTATCGCATTTCAAAAATTTTATTATATGTAAAAAGAGTGAAGATTTACTATATCAAATTGATATCTGTTTCTTGTTATTTGAATAACAAATTAAATAATGAAAAAGTTGGTTGATAAATTTTATATTTCATAAGTTCGTTTCTACATGACATTTTCTTAAATAAATAGGTAAATAGGTCTGTGTTTGCCTATTTATTCATCGTGTATAAAATTAAAATGTTTACGATGCCGCTCTCATTAACAGAACAAGATATTATTAATAAATAAATAAATAAAAGAGTCGGCTGACGTATATGTCACCCACGCGCTCGCTTCAGAAATCCAAAATATAGATGTTTCTGCGAGCACACAGCAAGTACAACAAAATCGATGCAATTGGCTATTGTGACAGTTTGCTAGGTGGGAGGACTGACGTCACAAAAGTTTCTTTCATGTCACACGATGTTTCCAAGCTGAACACAGATCAGAGCTTTGTGAATAGGCAAAGCTTCAATCGATTTCTCTAGTCAGCTAGGAGCGAGACAAAAAGTTGATTCGATAACGCCATGTATTTTAATCGCTTTTACAATTTTTTTTATCTGTTATTTAAATATAAATTTTCTATCTTTATAGTGAAATTCTAAAATTTACATTATTACATACTTATCCGCATTACCATAATTACCATTATTACCAATTTATGATAATTCAATATATAAAAAAAATATGTAAATATATGTATATCAAAGCAACGAGATAATATGCAAGAAAAAAATTTGCAAGAAATATATATAATATATACTATAAAAAATTTTCATAAAAGTAATTTCGAAAAAAATTGTTAAATGTAAATCAAATAATATGCAAAAGTACTTCGTGACATGTGCATGACATACTATATTTAACATAACATAAATGTCATTTGGCACGTAAAATCTATTAATTATTATAGAAAGTAAAATATATTTAAATATTGATGTAAAATTATCTTACTGTTTGTCAAGCGATTGTTCACTATGTGTATGACAATTTTATCAACCAACTCTTTCGTTATTTAATTTGTTATTCAAATAGCAAGAAACAAATATCAATTTGATATAGTAAATCTTCACTCTTTCTACATATGATAAAATTTCATGAGTTTTTATATCTCATGTTAAAATGTGTAAACCAGAATTTTTACTATAATCGTTAGCTACTACGAATACACAAGTGCTGGACATTATCAGCTAATGTTTTCAATTAGCTGAAGCTTTCAATTTTCAAAATAAACTTGCTCAGTTACCTTACGTAAATTATTATTTCTGTGGAAACCATATTATGGTATAAAATTTATATTTCAAGTGATGTCGATTGCAGTAACTTTATCTACAGTCGTTACAGCTGATAAGAGAATACAGCTGTCGGTATCGCTTACTAGTAAGTTTGTGCGTCAGAAATCTACCGTACCGGTGCTGATAAGAGAACAGAGAAGCTTTCCTTATCAACAGTAAAACGATGTGTAAAACAGTCGTGTGATATCATAAAATAGAAATATCGACTTACAGTATGATGCTGACATTTAACAGAATGTAGTAGAATAACTCCAAACTCACCTGAAATAACGAGAAAAATCAATATTAGTTATTTTATTTTTAAACAATAATTTTTACTAACATAAATATACATATACAAAGTTATGAGAAAGCGTTTGTAATAATTTTAAAAAAATTTTAGAAACATATAACAAAATCTTATTTTTAAAGAAAGAAAAAATCGAATTTTAATAATAACAAGATTTTTCTGATTATCAACGAAAAATATGTTTAAATCATAAATATAAATATGGCGAGGGATTTCTATATGTTGTTATGTATTATGTTATATATTAACTTTCTATCTAATAATAAACATAATCGCTACGAAAAAAGGGCTTACGATATATTGACAAATTGTCGCTCTGGTTTACTTTGTGGAATGATTTGCGCCTTGTTTGCGCGTATTGATTTATCCGATCCATTTGGCAGAGTCCGATCAATTGAATGGTCGGTTTTCATATTTAGTTGCACGCAGAGCAATATGGTTTTTCCCTCGGTAGCGAAACAAACTGCCGAAAAAAGCAACTTGGCCGCTATTCTCAAATTCATATACATATGTGAAAAAATATTTGCAACACATCCTATCTTTTATGGAACAATTTTACAAGAAAAAGAAAAAAATTTATCACAATATATTGCTTTCATTTGCATTCATATGTAATCTTTTTTTCTCTTGCAAAGTTATTCCAAAAAATATGAGAACATATAAATTTTTTGTATATATGTATTTTCGATTTAGTTTGAATTCACACTGCGAATACTATTCCAAAAATACTCTTTCAACCGCTTCGGTCGAGATTTCATAAATACATTTATCCCCAAGTAATCCACTTTGAAGTCTACGCAAACTGTGCTATTTAGTTTGGAAGATCAAAGCCGCGCCCGATTTCACCCGCGTGAACAGAATGCACGCCCGATTTCCGTATAACAATGCGTGCTTAATTCCCGTACAGCTATGACTTTATGTAGAAATTAATCGTCCTGTTCAAACACAGTAGCGCTCGTACGTAACAATGTTAAGATTCTGAAAGCTCGATAACAAACTTGTACAAATATATGCATAACAAATTACATAACGATTATTTTAATCATCTCATAAACCGATTGTGTTGACACATATTTTTAGAGACTATCACACTTTTTCCAACGCATATTATTCATTTCATCTTTATATCTAAGATCACTATTTCTTATCGTATACACGAGTATTACGCAGTAGGTTATAAAGTATCATCAGGAAACTGTAATATAATGTTGAGACCTAGGAATCCCCAATGGAATAGATTCTCCCCGTCTTCAGTGATACAAGCTGAAATAAGTCTGGAATAGACGTATTGGCACCATAACTCTGTGCAAAGTTAACCCCGGGGGATCATCTCGCATCTTGTAACATCTGTTTTCGACTCTCACGAGAGACATCGTTATAGTTCACAATCGACCGGATGATCGAAACTGTAACGCACTATGATTAATTAATCGCATCGCAATGATTGACGACACCTTACCGCGATTCGACAGTTACCGGGGGAATGAAACTACTGTTGGCTCTGAATTCAACGTACTAACCATAGATACAAATCAATCGAACACCTATTGATCAGGAATTGCCCATTGTTGCAATATCACGACATTGTTGCATTAAACGGTCGTCTTGGCCATCTAATATGTACTAGACGATCATACGCACAATAGCTATTAGGATATCCTTGTACAGACACAATCAATCAAATGTGCTGTTAAAGTTTGATCTCCTATGTATCTGAGTTAAGTTTCGAAGTCAACGCTACAAAAATAGACATGCGATGGCGGACAAATATGTCTCTAACGAGTTGGAGTTGCTTGGAATAACATAATTCTTCACATACGTTATCCGAAGTTGAAACGCGTGAATTGCATTCTCAGTTACGCTTTCTTTATACCACCTTAAATACCATCGCGTACCTTTCGCGAAATAAGAATTCTTGAAATTTCTCTCGACCGTCGTCGCTCACCAAGTATTCTGGAACACTCCGGGTAACATTGCAAAATAACTTTCCACACAGACTCGGTGCATCTATCGACAGAGCTTTCAAATTAGTCGAGCGTCTATCAAGGCTCGTTGGCGTTTCGAAACTACGCGAAGGATTTCTTCGATTCCGTGAAAAATTTGCTTTCGATGAATAATCCAGAAAAAAAGTAAAATTTGCCCGGAGTTTAGCACATGTTTCTGCAAATTGCTCTGCAAGAATCTGAAAATAGCTTTGAAAAAATGGTCACAAGGACTTCGCAGTACTGTTAACTTCTTTACAAAAAGCTTTTAATAATTCTGTGAAAAGATATATCCCTTTTTACTCAATCCTTCATACTTCTAATAAATTTAAAATTAATTAAATCGGTTTTAATTTAAAACGTGATAAAAATTAGTCGCCAATAGCATTTTAAATTTTTATTAAAGCTTAGTAAGTAATTTTATTATAAGGAAAATATTATAAACGTTTGGTCAAAATTGCCATAACTGATCATGAAACTATTTTAAGTCTCGCTGTTTAACGTCTCTCGCGTAGTTAATTGTATTATGTTCATATAATTACATCTACTGTGGACGTATTAAAGCCGGTGCATGCTTTTGAAAGGCAGGACAGAGATACCTACATAACTCAAGTACATAATATGAAAATTAAAAGCCAATAATTCTTAGGTGATTTCATAGGGAAATAAGTAACTAAATTATTCAACAAATTACAACTCGTGCATTACAAACGGGGTACAAAATTAGCTAAATAACCTTTTTTTCAAGAAATACATAATATTTTACTTGAAGCAATTTTCAAACTTATACAAACCGTGTACGAACCTTTACCATTCGTAAGCGGCGCAATTAGATTTCGCGCATTGGCAAACCGATTTTATTACAACTTCGCAGACGCTAAGAACTTTATGTGATCATTGCATCTGATCCTCTATCATGACCTGTTGTAATTTAGTGACTCGTGCCGCACGCCCTCGTCTCCGATTGTAAATTTATTCAGTAGTCTAGATAGCTCTGATCAGTCATGACCAACCTATCAACCTGAACAAACAACCATCAGCCTCCGACACTTTGCTCGCGAGCAGTAACAATCCTTTCAACCTGTTGGATCATGAATTAATTGAATAGGTCGTTCGCGATTACTTTTATAAAAGGCGCGTAAGAAGTCGAAGAGCAATACAAAAAGAATAATGTGATTTCCAAAAGAATCGCGTTTTAAAATTGCAATCTAAAAAAAAGATATACAAGACCGTTATTATCCTCGTAATTCTAAATAGCGTAAACGCGAGAAAATTGTTTTTC